AGGGAGAAAGAGAGAAAAAGAGAAAGAAAGGTGGAAAGAACACTGGCTGGGAAAGGGAAGACTGATCAGGGAGGCATGTCTCCCCTTCGCTTCCCCAGCTGCCCTGCCAGGAGCCACACAATATGTGTGAAAGAGCCACATGTGGCTCCCGAGCCACAGTTTGGCCACCCCTGCAATAGACACTCCCTGACTTGAGCATTTTAGAGAGGAAAATGGCTCTTCTGTTTCTAACCAAAAGCTCACAAACCTCTCGCTCTCACACACACTTTACTTTAACAAATCACAATATTAAGGACTAGTGGAGGTCCTTAATATTTTTATTGTACAGTCTTAAATGATTTTCTTTTTCATCACAGTCTCATAATCTGCCCAAAAGACAACAGGAAGTAACACAGAAATTAGCAAAATAAAATAAATAGCAAAGCCCAATATTGGCCCCAATCAAGCTATACAGCTAATGGCTCTAAATGGATATGCAAATTCCAGTTGGCATTAAAAGGTGCATCCTGACATTTCAATGGGGCATAGATGAGCATCACAACAAATGCACTCACATACAGTGCACATCTGCAACCATGTCAGTTTCATGTGCATAAACCGACTTCTGCACGTGGATCTTTTTAGATCTTTCCCATACTTTTCATCTAGAATTTGGACAAGCCCTGAGATGACCCCCTCCCTCCACTGCCCTCTCGATGTTCACTGCTTATGTTGAGCTATCTATCAGTAATGTATAAGAACATACCATGCTGGGCTGAGCTATCCTTCTGTTTCCCACAGCATCCAGTGAGTAAGGTATATTTGGATGCTCACAACTAGGGGATGCATTTCGCTTCAACATCTGCTTATCAGAAGCATACTACCTCTAAAGATGGAGTTTCCACTTAACTGCAGCCTGGTACAGAAGGTTTAGATAGGAGATGAACTCAGTTGCTGAATAGTTGTTGACACATTGGCTGACCCTACATGAATACAGGAATATTCAATGACTAGCAGCAAAGCCCATTGTAAAAGCAATACAACGAGCTCTAGAAATACATCATTTGTAACGAATGCATAGGCTGGAAGCAGGTTAAGTACGGTCTCACCCGCCACAAATGCCACCCAGTGGCAACCCTGCTCAGCTGGCCAGATCTGACTTCCCCCAGCCGGGCTAGCCTGGGCTGTGCAGGTCAGAGGTTCCAGCTGAGACAACGCGGGGAGGCTGCTGGGCCATGGGCGGCTGTCTGTCAGGGGACGCCACCCACCGCCCACTTCCCTCCTCCCTTCCGCCCGTTGCGGGGCAGGGGCCGCAGCTGGCCTGGGGTGTGGGGAGATGGGGAGGACAATGCCAGAGTCTGTCATGGTAGGCCGGGCTTGCTTACCCCCGGGCTGCCCTGCCCAAGGGTTTGGCTTTGAAGCCAAAAAACCATAGAGCTTTTGTCCAAAAACCGGAGTGTTGCACGTGACATCACCAATGTGATGATGTCACTTCTGGGTGACATCACTGCATTGGGGTGTCACCCAACAATGTCCCACCCACCCTGGAACGTCCCCCCCAAACCCCCTGCCCCGACGGCAAGCGGGCCTGGCAACCCTACTATCCCATAGTATTGCAGAACCAGCCAGTCTCATGCTGTACCTTAGCTCACATTTAATAACCAAAACAAATTCTTCACATTCCCCAAGTAATCTGTATTTATTCACGTATGAGCCATTTTCAGATGATACAAATCGCTACATGTGAGCATGCATTAGAACTATTGGGATTGTGGCTATCTAAGCCCAGATGTTGTGTACAATCCCTTGCAACTACAGACCACACCCATTTTTGCAAGGTTCCCGGTTGTGCATTCAGACCCTCTGCACACACATGTTGGAACTAGCCATCCAGTGAATTTTCATAGATTGGAGCAAGGCTTTCTACCATGAAATCAACTATGTGACTTCTCTTATATTAAACAGTCTCAGCCTGCTTTATGCTAACCTTCTCTTCCAAGTGTCTCAGTACTGTCCCTTTAATATGAAGCCCTTCATTCATTTCCATCAGAGATGGGAATCTGTTTCCTCTTCATTTGTCAATTAACTGCTTAAAGTGGACACTAATGCTAGGTTTGTTATTAGACATAATTTTCCGGAAACTTTTTGCTGACCTCTGTCAGTTTCTAAAGTCTGCTAGAAAAAATAGTTGCAACTGCAGCATAGGAGAAAAGTGGTTGGAGGATTCCATTTGGACACACTAGAATGTGCAAAGGAGAAAGGCTGTGTATTAAGATATTTGAAAATTAAAAATACAATTCAAACACCAAAGGCAGAGCCAGTGACGGCCCCAGGTTTTTTCGCCCACTAGGCGAGGATACATTCTGGTGCGCCCCCCCCCCAATGCAGGCTGGGCCGGGGGCGGGCGCCAGAGTAGCAGCGAGCAGGCCGAGGGGGCAAGCTGCAAATGCATGCGGGGGGCGGGATCACTTGAGGGGAGGGGGAGGGGGCCTGTGCCAGGCTGCAAAAGGAGCTCCAAGGAGACCACAGGGGTGGCAGAGGGCAAGCGGCCCTTTCCTGTCGTCCCGGGCTGTTCCCCACACCTGTCCCCCCACTTCCTTCTCTTTCTGTCTGGGGGCTGTAAAGAGGGGAGTCTCTTGCCAGGGACGGAGCAGGAAGCCGGCAAGGGACGGTTCCTGTGCAGGGCGAGGAGGGGACGAGGCTGGCCAGAATGGCGCCCTAGTCAAGCCATCGCCCTAGGCAACAGTCTAAAATTTAACAATAACGGGCCGGCCCTGGGCAGAGCACATGTATAACAATGTTCACAACAAGAATGTAAAGCTATCTGTAATTATGGATATGACTAACAATACTGAATCTAAAAGATTGATCAATTATATAGGGTTGGCCTTCTTCAGAAGATAGGCCTTCTTCAGAATTCAACACTGAGGTATAAAATCAGCAACCATAATTCATTTGAATTAACATATAGGGTCAAAATGCCACCCAAGGTAAAGCTCTTGACTGTTCACATTTATTTTTAAAAATTCAATTTATGTTGTCCACACATATAAATAGTAGAATGAGAGACCACGATACAGTTGTCTACTGTACAGTCCTCCACTATTGCTATAATACTATAGAATGGTGGTGCTGCAACTATCCGATGCCACCACTTTGAAAGCCCAATCAAGAATGAACACAGAGGCAGCAGGACTGAGTTCTGAGGAGAACCTGATCAAAATGGACTTTCACCAACATTCCTTAATCTGTATCAATATTTTGATATGTATACATGCTATTCATATTTTGTATTTTCATAATTAATGTGAATTTTGTTGTGTACATGTCCCACTGTTTAGTATTTGGATTGCAATTCTATTTTGAATATATACGGTATACATAGTCTTTCTGGTAGATTGCATTTTTCTATTTTCTGTTTAAGAGAGACCCCCTCCATTAAGACTAAAATATAACAAAGAGATAGAACAGGACCTGGCTTTTATATCTATGGGTCATGCATTTAGACTTCAGGTCTGCCCCGAGCTTAGTACTCAGGAGGGTTACAAATACATATATAAAATCCAATACAGTCAGACAAAATATAACGTATATAAAACCTAGCCTCCCATTAAAACTTTAGTAGTAACTTTAACCTTAGTAGCTTAGTAGAAGAGACTAAAGTTTCCATGTCTGTTTTTCCTACTATTGTGCTGAAGTGTTGAGAAAAACCACATCTAGTGGAATGTACCCGTGTTACTAAAAGGACAAAAGGTGTCCCTCACGCTGGGGATGATATAGTGAATGACTTTGATCCAGATCAAACAATGGGTTCTGCCTCTTAATTCATATCAGCACTCGTTCCCTGAAAAAATAAGAGGGCAGCATTGTGAAGTGATAGATATGAAAATAAATGAAGTCAAGAAATTAAGGCAGAGGAACCCCAGCTTCAAACCTGAGTGGTCTCTCTCCAACCACTTATTGGCCATATAGGGACCAAGTGCAGGCCACCAAGGAATCTAGAAAAAATACACAGAGAGATAGTCTTTCATTCCAGATATGGAGGTAAAATATTGTGGAAATGTGAGTGACATTTGATGCACCTGGATGTGGTTTAAGTGTACATCTTGTGCATGGGATGTATGCAGCAAACCTTGGTCTTATTGGAAATAAATAATACAGTTCCAACCTTGAAGTGAATGGCTCTTCCCATGCATTCTTTACAGGCCTTTGTCAGGCAAGAGGTTGGTTCTCTTTGATTTAAGCAACATTCCCCAGAATCATGTCTTTGAGAGGCATACTGTGGCCCCTCTTACTCATACTGTGGCAAGGTCAGAAGTTCCAGATCAGGATTTAACCCATGAGGGGTCAAAGTCTGGAACCTTAAAATCCACTCAATCTCTTTTTTTAACAGGATTTTTTCACGGTGGTGGTTTGGTTTACAAGGGCGTAGAATTTCCAATTTCGGGGGGGGGGCTGGGCCAGAGGCATTGCTATGCTACATCCTTAAAAGAACCAAGGCCCAGTGACATCATAGGTTTGAGCCAGTGACATCACAGGCCACTGCCACTATCTATAGAGGTGGAGCCATGTGCTGCCCCCAGCCAGCGTTAATGTACCTTTAAGAGTAGTTGCACCTGGGAATTGGAGTCCATAGTTAGGGGTCCCAGAAGCTTCCCTCTGACTGGCTCATTAAGAGTAATTTCCTGAACTCAAGGGCACAAAGATAGGAGTTTTATTGTTCTTTTCCGTTTCTTCGTCCATCAACCCTTACTGCAAGGAGAGGGGAAGCCCATCTCTTTTCTCACCACGGCCATAGGATTGATCAGAAAGATGTAACGTTCTATCCAGCTATCAGCTCGATTGTGAGTAAATGATCTACTGAATAAATGGGAAGTTAAATAAAGACGATTTAAGCTCTCTTCAGTGGCTGTGCGTTGACTCACACCTGGAAAGCGTTTGCCTCAGCTGCAGCTCTGTGCCCTCCCCAAGCAGTGCCCCAACAGGAAGCATTTTTGCGGAAACTACAGAGATTTCTTAAGATGACTAACAAGGATCTTAGCAAGTTATGGAAACTGTCCAATATCCTCATATCATTGCAGGCAGCTAAGAAGGATCCACGGCTACCAGGTCTTGCGTGTCTTGACCAAAGTTTATCACAAAGACAAATCAAAGAAAAGCTACCACCTATACTGAAGGAGAAATGGGGCGATGCAGTTGCCAGCTACAAGGCTACACATCTAGACCAGTCTCCCCCTTTCTCATACATAGTGAGCTTCATCACCCAGATGGTGAAGGATCATAATGATTCCCAATCTTACTATGACCCCCCTCGGTATGACCCTCCCTTAGAGAGTGTACCCACACAAGACACCAAGGCAAAAATGGAGGCATCTGTACGCTCGACAGGGGTATCAAGCATGACCAACTCACCGACGGCAGAGGTGCCAAAGCCTACGGAGCCATTTTGTCAGTTTCACAAGAAGACGCACCCACTGAACAAATGCAGAGAGTTCAGAACGAAGCCATTGGAGGAGCGGAAGGCTTTGATCAAGGAGTACCCGTTATGCTTCAAGTGCTGCGAGTCCAAGGACCACATAGCTAAGGACTGTAAAACTGTTATCAAGTGTCATGTGTGTGACAGCAACAAGCATGCTGGGGCCCTGCATCCAGACTCTGATCCACCACAGCAACCCACGCCTAGCTCCTCTACCACGGCAACTTCTGCAGAATCATTGAATACGCACACTCAGCCTGTTGGCGCCCACTGCACTCAGGTTTATGGCACCATGAAGAGTCAAAGGTCCTGCCATCAGATATGTCTTGCTAAAGTTTTCCCCATAGGTCATCCGAAGAAGGCCGCAAAGATGTATGTCTTCTTAGACGGACAAAGCAATCAGTCCTCAG